AAGGGTGTTTTTTGCAATGAAGTCATTCATTACTCTTGCAAATATCTAACACGCAATCTTGAACTTGGTTTCCATCATCAAGTCCATATTTTCCAACCTCTGTTCCTTCTTTCTTTCTAACGTCTCCATTCTAGCCATCCGTATTTATCAATGCATTTTAATCGCATGTTTAATCAAACATGATTAAATCCTTCTCTGAAGACTTCATGGAATTCTTCAGCTTTTTCATCACTGAATTTATAGGTTAGTCCATACATTTGACCAATAGTTGTATTGATTGGATTGCCTTGAAGGAGGATAGATATAAAAATATCACAGGCAGCATTGTACTTCAAGATAGATCTTGAAATATCCTTTTTGACAATGAATGTTATGCCATTCCTCTTGATTGTGCCATTCCCCACATGGTATACCATATGATTTTCTGATTCAAAATATCGAATACCAGTCCATTTCAGCTCACCATACCCTAGGATTTTGATCACCATATGTTCTATTTCATTTTTGACAACTTTCAATTTTCCTAGCTCATACGTCATACATTCCCATTTCCAATTCTGTGTTAGTAGATTGTGCAGATGTTCCTTCTTATTTTGAGTCGTGCCCCATCAGCAAACGAAGGTCCCAAGGTTTCCTCCCGGGCCTTTCCTCCGTGGATGTCAGTATGAAGGACCCTGCTTTGAGAGGGCAGCTCTTCCTCAGTCATAGTCGGAGTGCCTTCTAATGGGCGGGGCTCATCGCCCCGCCCTGTCTTAGACAGTGTTCTGTTTCTGTTCATGGGGCCTTCAGTACCTGACAATGTTTTGATGCTGCTTTCAGAGCCTCATTCCTCTGAAATGGTCGGCTGACTCCTTCTTCTTTGTAGTCTGTTCTTAGTTGGAAGATCTGCTGAAATCTGTTCCTTTTGGGCGACCCTGCTGGCATGTGAAATACCAGTGACAGCTTTCAGCATCAGAGCAACACACAAGCCACCACAGTATGACAAGCAGACGAACAAGTGGTAGCATGTCGTGCAGATGAAGATAATGCTCAATAAAATGTTTGCCATTTACTTTGTATATTTACTCTAAAACCCAACTCACTTCCAGTGAGTTAGTACAGCCTCATAGTAACCCTGTAGGATGGAGCAGAACTGCCCCCGTGGGTTTGCCAGGCCATAAATCTTTACAGGAGCAGACAACCTCATCTTGTTTCCGCTGAGCAGCTGCTGGGCTTCCATCGCTGGCCTCACGGTCAGCAGCTCAACACATACCCCACCGTGACTCTTCTGTATGCTTGAGGTAGAATATGCTACCTCTCAATCCACTTTCCTCTTTATCACATGCAGAGGAATGGTTTTTACAATGATGCCCTATGTTCTTTACAATCAGAAAAGAATAAAAACTGAAAAATGAATTTAGGACTTGCTTTTCGGGGGTAGAAATGATCTAATTCTTTATTTGGAGGCAGGCTATACACTTTGCGGTGGGGAAATGAGTCCCTACGGTACTCACAGAGACGTCACAGAGATTTATTTTTGTCAAATGGGTTAAAATGGATTCTACCCAAGTCATGCTACACAAGCCAGGCTGGTTGGAGGTGATCATTCTTAGTCTGTCCACCCAGCCCAAGAGGAGGGTGAATTTAGGGTGGAGGCCTTGGATGTTCGTTCATGGTCTCTAGTAAGAAGAATGCCAGTGGGAGTGGTGAGGTTCTCTGCCCTTGTTCCAGGAAGCGTCGTGACCTGTCTGGATAGGGCAGGGACAGGGCTCTGTTCTCCTAACAGAATTCATTTCCAGGGGAGGGCATTTTTTATATTTAGTTTTAATGAAGAAATGCAGGATCAAATCGAAAGCCAAAGATTTTTCTTTTGTACGCTTTCCTTTTTGTAAGTGACATAGAGTAATGTTGTAAAGAATTCAGGAGGAAACAAAGGAAGCTGCTTAGAAACTGGAGTTTCCTTTGGTAAGTCAGTTGGGCAATAACATGGAGCAAAATCAAAGCAGCCCAGGCAAAATAAACCTGCCCGATGGAGCTACCAGATATGAGGTAATAGTGTGACGTGCCTTTGAGTATCAGACATTCTTGTAAAAACCACAGAGCTACAATCTGGTCTTGCCCCATTAAGTCACAGCTCTGCCAAGCAGCAACACAGAGCACACATTTAAAACCATTGCTACAAGCCAAATGTAGCTCCCACCGAAGACAATTAAACCTTTGACTGGAGCGCCGAGGCTGGACCGCTGAAGCCCTGAGAGCCATTTCAGTGGCGTGGAATCTAAATCCTACTTCAGTGTGAAAATGAAATGACTGTTGTTCTAATTAGGAGGCGATATCGATGGCAAAATACGTGGCAATCAGTTCACTGTGGTAACTTGAGGTAGTCTTGGTTGAGGTTAGATTTTAAAAGTGGAAGCACAGGAATCTGTAGGCATTTGTTGATAGCTTTAGTGGTCACCGACTGTATAAAAAAATAACTCGTGTTTACTTTTGAGAATTTAATGTACAGGAAAGAAGATATAGAAGAGTACAACATTATTGCACAGTTGCATGTCCTCAGAATTAAATTGTATAGCCTTTTGCTGCTAGTCAAATATGACTCAGAAATAAGCTTTATGCCATATTGTTGCATATGGTTTTGGTCTTTCACACATACACACACACACACACACACACACACACACGGGTGTTTAAAATTTGAATGATTATAAATTTTAATGTCTTATATTTCAATTGTAATGTAATTGTGCTCTTTAGTTCTTTTCCCATATATGTAATATATATACTTTCCATTTTTATTATATATTCTTCAAAGACAGGATAGTTAATGGCTATATAATGTTTCATCTATCCTGAAATAATTTTTCTCCATTTACTACCAGTATAAATATTACCTTACATAAAATACTGTTCACTTCACTGATTATTTTTTTAGGATGGAGTTTTGGAAGTAGTAAAATTACAGAGTTCTAGGTTAGAAACAAAGGAGCTGGGTGGGTTATGTTTTGGGCTGCTAACTACAAGGTCAGCAGTTTGAAACCACCAGCTGCTCTACAGGAGAAAGGCGGACCTTTCTGCCCCTTTAAAGATTTATGGTCTCAGAAACCCAAGGGGCTACTCTGTTTTATAGGGCCATGATGGCTGGGAATTGATTTGATAACAGTGAGACTGCTGAGGGGAGGACGTATTTCAGGTGATTGCTATGTATTAACTGTTTTCCAAACAGTCTACTTATCTCTGTCAGTGAGGTCTCTTAAGTGCCTCTCTCACCTAATGATTGCTAACAGCAGATAACAGCATGATTAGGGCAGCGGTTCTCAACCTGTGGGTCGTGAACCTGTTGGGGGTTGAATGACCCCTTCACTGGGGTCGTCTGATTCATAACAGTAGCAAAATGACTGTTATGAAGTAGCAGCGAAACTAATTTTTTGGTTGGGGGTCACCACAACATGAGGAGCTGTATTAAAGGATTGCAGCATTAGGAAGGTTGAGAACCCCTGGATTCGGGGTCTGTATGGGTGGGGAAGTTTGGCATACATGCTTGCAGTTCATTCTTTCTAACCATTTCAAGGTACTTATTAAAAAACACTATGTACAAGCCATTGCTTCTGAAACTGAGCATGCATCATTAAACAAAGCGAACAAAAGTCCTCAGTTAAAACATAAACTGGGCTTATGTTTTCCTGGGGAAGAAACTGCAATAAATAAATGTGCAATGTCTGCTATTAGAAGATAGTAAGTGCCAAGAAGCCCACTAAAGCGAGGCCCGGACGGGGGGCAGGGGGAGTGGCAACCAGGAACATGAGAGTATTGTCATTCCAAGTGCGCATGACAGCTGGTGAGGTGACGAAAAACGCTCCAACTTTCCAGACCTTTCCTGCTGGGCGTGGGTTTGATTATTAGGAAGTTAATTAGAAGGTAGTTAGCCACAAAATGGAAATGAAATCTTTGGGGAACTCTGGGATCTTTGACCATAGGAAGTTGTACATGTGAGTGTTTATTGGATTTAATGAGTTCTTCTTTCGTGTGTTATTTTTATTCTGCTTTAAATTTGACTATTAAAGGCACCGTAGTCATCAGGAACAGGCTGAAAGACTATCCTTTCTTTGCCCCATTTTCTTAACTATTATCTATTAAAAAGGGAGTAGGCAGTAAAAAAAGAAAGTGATTTTTGCTGCTGGGCCGCTGAAGGATGCCAGGGAGAAAGTGGGAAATGACAGGGGTATAGGGATGCAGTAAGAAGTCTATTTCAAGGCTGTAAATCTTCAAGACACAGATGCTGCTTCTTCCCCTGGAGCAGCTAGTGGGTTGAACGGTCAGCCTTTTGGTTAGTGGCCCACGGCTTCAACCATGACCACACCAGTGATCCTTTCAAATCTTCCGGCTAATCCAAAATCCCTCAGAGACACTGCCTTTTCAAAGGAAACAAAAGAAAACAGACACTTGTTGAGGAGAGACTTTGAAAATCGAAGGTACGTTCTTCACTCACTGCTGTTGAGTTGAACCCGACTCCTGGTAACCCTTTAGGACCAGATAGCACTGCCCTGTGGGTTTCTGAGACTACTCTGCACGCAAGTAGAAAGCCCTGGCTTTCTCCCGAGGAATAGTTGGTTTTGAACTGTTGAACTGGCGGATCGCAGCCTAATGCCTAGCCACTCTACCACCTCTCTGAGTTTAAAATTTTCTTTCTCTTTCTTAGCCACCACAATTATTTCTGCTCAGTGGTCCGACAGAAATTATCGAATCCATTCTAAGATGAATATGATAGAACTTTGATACTCCTTTTAAGAGACGTTGTTGTTATTAGTTGCTACTGAGTTGATTCCAAATCACACAGTAGAAATGAGGCTATTGGCCCGGATTGCCAACTGAAAGGTTATTTCCTTCCACCGGAGAGATCTCCGTTGAGTTTTCCATGGATGGATAGACTGCTAGTTGAGTGCTAAACCTTTTGTTGAGCCCCCCCGGGGTGTCCACAGTGTTGGTTACAAAATAGTCTTCTTCTCTCTACATTCTTACAGCAATATGAGAACTGGAGACCCAACCAACCAGACAGCTTCTTTTCCTCTGGTGAAGACTGTGTAGTAATCATCTGGCATGAGAACGGCCAGTGGAATGATGTTCCCTGCAATTACCACCTCACCTATACCTGCAAGAAAGGAACAGGTAATGATTACCCCATCAGCAGTAGATACTTACATTTATATGCATTTCAGTTATAATAGTGCTAAAAGTTATTTTTTTAAGGCACAACTGAAAATGTCCTGGATTCCGTCTTTGACTGTTTGGGGATCATCTCCCCTTTCCAATACAATGGTGAAAGTTGGGGGAGCATCTCCCCCTTCCAATACAGTGGTGAAGTTTGGGGGCACATCTCCCCCTCCAATACAGTGGTGAAGTTTGGGGGCACATCTCCCCCTTCCGATACAGTGGTGAAGTTTGGGGGCACATCTCCCCCTTCCAATACAGTGGTGAAGTTTGGGGGCATATCTCCCCCATCCAATACAGTGGTGAAGTTTGGGGGAGC